CAATGTTTGGAAGTTGCGACATCTTATAAATTAGCTATGACTATGTTATGGTTGTACATGTAGCAATTATATTTTTACTGTTACAACCTGTTCAGCGTTTAAACAGACTGTTTCAACGTTTTCCGTGTTGGGACAGTTATTAAATAACTGTTACAACTTTCAAATAGTTGCGTTAGTCTTATTATGACTGTGACAACCTTTTAGGCGTTTAATCAGTTTATTTATGACTGTTGCAACGTTTTTCGAGTTGGGACAGTTGTAAATCAACTGTTACAACTTTGAAATAGTTGTATCAGTCCTTTAATGACTGTGACAGTTATTTCTAGCGTTGTTACAGTCGATTTATGTTATAGACAAACACATTTAAAGTTGGGACAGTTACAAAATAACTGCAGCAGTGAAATTTAACAACTGTTACAACTTTAACAAACATTATCAGTCTTAGAACGACTGTTACTGGTATGGACAGTTGTTTTTTCGTCCAGTAGTGTGTGTTACAACTCTAGATGTCTAGTACTGTGTTACAACTCTAGATGTCGTGTACTGTGTTACAACTCTAGATGTCTAGTACTGTGTTACAACTCTAGATGTCGAGTACTGTGTTACAACTCTGGATGTCGAGTACTGTGTTTTAACTGTGTTACAATCCTCGATTGCGTTTTCTGTGTTACAACTCTAGATGTCGAGTACTGTGTTACAACTCTAGATGTCGAGTACTGTGTTACAACTCTAGATGTCGTTTAATGTGTTACAACTCTAGATGTCGTGTACTGTGTTACAACTCTAGATGTCGAGTACTGTGTTACAACCCTGGATGCTGTGTACTGTGTTACATTCTAGATGTCGAGTACTGTGTTAAAACTCTAGATGTCGAGTACTGTGTTACAATCCTGGGTGCCGTGAACAGTGTTACAACTCTAGATGCCGTGTACTGTGTTGCAATTCTAGATGTCGAGTACTGTGTTAAAACTCTAGATGTCGAGTACTGTGTTACAATCCTGGGTGCCGTGTACAGTGTTACAACTCTAGATGTCGTGTACTGTGTAACAACTCTAGATGCCGTGTACTGTGTTACAATCCTTGATGCCGTGTACTGTGTTACAACTCTAAATGTCGAGTACTGTGTTACAATCCTTGATGTCGAGTACTGTGTTACAATCATGGATACCGTGTACTGTGTTACAACTCTAGATGTCGAGTACCGTGCTACAATCCTAGATGTCGTGTACAGTGTTACAACCCTTGATGTCGTGTACTGTGTTACAATTCTAGATATCGTGTACTGTGTTACATTTCTATATATCGTGTACTGTGTTACAATCATAGATGTCATGTGCAGTGCTACAACCCTAGATGTCGTGTACAGTGTTACAACCCCAGATGTCTTGTACAACCTTACAATCCTAGATGTCGTGTACAATTACAATCCTAGTTGTCGTGTACAGTGTTACAACCCTAGATGTCTTGTACAGCCTTACAACTCTAGATGTCGTGTACTGTGTTACAACTCTAGATGCCGTGTACTGTGTTACAACTCTAGATGTCTAGTACTGTGTTACAACTCTAGATGTCGTGTACTGTGTTACAACTCTAGATGTCTAGTACTGTGTTACAACTCTAGATGTCGTGTACTGTGTTACAACTCTAGATGTCTAGTACTGTGTTACAACTCTAGATGCCGTGTACTGTGTTACAACTCTAGATGTCGTGTACTGTGTTACAATCCTAGATGTCGTGTACAGTGTAACAATCCTAGATATCGTGTACAGTGTTACAACCATAGATGTGGTGTACTGTATAACAATCATAGATGTGGTATACTCTGCTACAAACCTAGATGTCGTGTACTGTGTTACAACCCCTAATGTAGTGTACAGTGCTACAATCCTCGATGTCGTGTTTAGCGTTACAACCCTTGATATAGTGTACCGTGTTACAATCCTAGATATCGTGTACAATGTTACAATCTTAGATATCGTAGTATGTGTTACAACTCTAGATTTCGTGTAGAGTGTAACAATCCTAGATATCGTGTACAGTGTTACAATCATAGATGTCGTGTACTGTGTTACAATCATAGATGTGGTGTACAGTGTTACAACCTTAGATGTCGTGTACTGTACTACAACCCAGGATGTCTTGAATAGTGTTACAACCCTAGATATCGTGTACTGTGTTACTACCCTATATGCCGTGTACTGCGTTACAAACCATGATGTAGTGTACTGTGTTACAACCAGAAAAAAGGCATGTTCAGTGTTACAACCCTTGACGTAGTGTACCGTGTTACAATCCTAGATATCGCGTACTTTGTTACAATCTTAGATATCGTATTATGTGTTACAACTCTGGATGTCGTGTAGAGTGTTACAACCCTAGATGTGGTGTACCGTGCTACAATACTAGATGTCGAGTACTGTGCTACAACCCTAGATATCGAGTACTGTGCTACAACCCTAGATGTCTTGTAAAACCTTACAACCCTAGAAGTCGTGAACAGTGTTATAACCCTGGATGGTGTGTGTAGTGTTACAACCCTTGATGTAGTGTACAGTGTTACAATCCTAGATGTCGAGTACAGTGTTACAACCCTAGATGTCGTGTACAGTGTTACAACCCTAGATGTCGTGAACAATGTTATAACCCTAGATGTCGTGTACAGTGTTACAACCCTAGATGTCGTGTACAGTGTTACAACCCTAGATGTCGTGAACAGTGTTATAACCCTAGATGTCGTGTACAGTGTTACAACCCCAGAGGTGTTGTACAACCTTACAATCATAGATGTCGTGTACAATTACAATCCTAGTTGTCGTGTACAGTGTTACAACACTAGATGTCGTGTTACAATCATAGATTTCGTGTACTGTTTTATAACCCAAATAAAGGCATCGAAGAAAGGCACTAATAAACTTAAGAAAGCTAAATATTGTATAACCCTGTTTATTTCTTCAATTTAACCCCAAAGATGATTTATGCGCGCTCATCATTCAAGAAAGATATAGTACAATAGTCTTCACATATTACTAACTATACACGCTGTGCCTATTGTGCCTTGTCTTTGAGCTGTTTATATTGTCTTTAGATAAAGTAGGAAATTAAAACAGAAGAAAACAACTCACACTATATAAGTATTAAGCTGCTCCTTAAGTGATTAAAATGGGCACAATTAAAGAATATATAATTTTGAATTTATCTTGAACCAATGAAACAAGAGGATAAAATTATAAAGGTAAATAATGACCTCTTTCGAACAATTTTGTTACATAAATATTCTCGGATGCACTTTATCACTATTGTTCATGCTATAATAAGATAGTGTTACTCCCCTTTGATCATATTCTTTAACAAAAAAAACCGTCTCTATCTGGAGAATGGTACGTGTAAATTTATTGACTTGTTTTGGGTGAATTTGACCACTTGAATATAGTCCCTTTTTAGTATGAATAGTAAAATAAGGGATTGTATCTGAGTGGATAAATTCGCTACAATCAAGGTAAAACAAGCTTAGTAGACTAAGTGTTAAAGTATGTGGTATATATACATAAAAATAGAAAATTTAATATTCAGTGCAAATAATGAAAAAAAGCTTTTGAAGAAAGAAATAAGTCCTTGTCACAAACGTTTTTTCAGCAAGTCTTTCATTTCAAAACATTTTTTTTAGACGGTGCTATCCTAAAATAGGTAGGGATAGTATTTTTTGTGTTTTTTACAGCCTCTTTCAGACAGTTTACACTTGTATAAAAGTGTTAGTGTATAAAATGATTGATTGCATTTTATATTGGAAATTAATACCTTTGTTATTTATCGTGCATTTAAAAGGTAAAGAATAAATTAATTTCCTTTCTTCTTCAAGTATGCCTATATTTAGATAATTTGTTAATTTTTAACCGAGTTTTCTGGAGGAAATTCCGATGATCAAAATGGTGAAGTACGGCAAGCGAGCGGCTATCTGAAGGTTCTGTCCAATAACTTATAAACCCGTCAACCAATGCTCTTTATTTTTTTTGTCTTTCTAAATGTTGTTACTGATGACAAAATGGAAGTAAAGTTCGATATTGACGATTTTTACTTTACTGCATGTTCAGGTGTTATTTTGTTACTTTCCCCCAAACGTTCTATGTTTGAAATTTATAAAAGTTTTCCAATGTAATACATATAGCTAGTCATAATCACTTCGTTTTATGTCATCTTTTCTATTGTTCCATAGAAACTAAAAAAATAAGTTTTCTATCTGTTTAAGTATATAGATATTTTGTAGAACAGTTAGTGGTCGAATTAGGAAAGGCAGCTTTATAACTCGTTACTGTGATTTTACCCATTACTGTATATTTTGTAGAACAGTTAGGGGTTGACTTTGGAAAGGCAGCTTTATAACTCGTTACTGTGATTTTACCCATTACTGTATATTTTGTAGAACAGTTAGGGGTTGACTTTGGAAAGGCAGCTTTATAACTCGTTACTGTGATTTTACCCATTACTGTATATTTTGTAGAACAGTTAGGGGTTGACTTTGGAAAGGCAGCTTTATAACTCGTTACTGTGATTTTACCCATTACTGTATATTTTGTAGAACAGTTAGGGGTTGACTTTGGAAAGGCAGCTTTATAACTTGTTACTGTGATTTTACCCATTACTACTAGATCCCGATAAATTCATGAATTCAATGTAGCTTTTGATTTGGTTTTTTCACTTTTTCGTTTAAAATTAATTAGAAAGCCTTGTTGAACGAATGACATTCCAAGCTATATAGACGGAGTTGTTGTGATGGAGTGCATACAAACATGGGTTCAAATCTCGCTAAGAGAAATACGAAATTTTGCAACCGCTAATGTGCATGTCTAGTATTGTTAGGCCAAATTACATATGAAATATATATGTATGTGTATATATGTGTGGGTGCCTTCAAAAGTGAAGCTCGGGATACATGCAGCTCTATTTTTCACAACAGCAATAATTATACCATTATACCATTGCTGTAAGATTTTGATAGGAAGACATTAAAATTAAAATAGTTTATTGTAAGAATTATGTAATCCACTTTTGATCTGCACGTATACACGTTCGTTCTGATCGCCACCATCTGTCAAGTTCACTTACAATCAAATTTGGTTTATAAGGGTCATTTAACATTGCACATAGTCTACACCAAAATTTTGTATCTATAAACGTTCCTGTTCCCTTCCATTTGAAATACTGATTATATAATTGGTCATTTTTGTCTAATGTATGTAAATATTCTGCTAAATGTTTGGGAGATTGAAAATCCTCCACATGTATGTATGAATGATGCGGAGCTGATCTTTTGTAATCATCTGGATGTGCTCCCATGACAACAGGCAAAACATTATTCCTGAAAAAGAGAGAATAAATAAGACACTTTTTACAATGAAGCTGATATGGTCATTATGTAATCCAAATATTTTACATGCATTATTATATACAAATGAAAATGAATATTGATTTACATTTGGAGATATGACAGAACTTACATACATAGAAATTTTATTAAGTAAAGACCAAAGGACAGTATTTTTAAACCAAGAAAGGATAAAGGCTCTGATAATTATTTTTGTATACTATTTAGTTTTCTTTTATCTAATTTAATATTCATTGGCAGTAAAAACTTCCCGAATTTCATCCCAGTCTAACCATTTCATCCCAGTAAAACCATTTGGCAGAACCTGTCTATTTTATTTTTTGTCAATTTATTCCTGCACGGTTTTATATATCAAATAAGAAGGTGTGGTATCATTGCCAATGAGAAAACTCTACAACAGAGACCAAATAACGTAGAAATTATCAACTAGAGGTCATCGTACGGCAATGAGCAAAACCCATACCGCATAGCAAGATATAAAAGGCCCGGAAATGACAAATGTAAAACAATTAAAACGAGAAAACTTACGGCCTAGAACAGTCTCTGATATTCTAACCCTAGAGTATTACTGATACAGAACAGTTTAACATATTAAGTTGATGACATCCTATATAAAATTGAGAATGGAAATGGGGAATGTGTCAAAGAGACAACAACCCGACCATAGAGCAGACAACAGCCGAAGGCCACCAATGGGTCTTCAATGCAGCGAGAAACTCCCGCACCCGGAGGCGTCCTTCAGCTGGCCCCTAAACAAATATGTATACTAGTTCAGTGATAATGGACGTCATACTAAACTCCAAATTATACACAAGAAACTAAAATTAAAAATGATACAAGACTAACAAAGGTCAGAGGCTCCTGACTTGGGACAGGCGCAAAAATGCGGCGGGGTTAAACATGTTTTTTGAGATCTCAACCCTCCCCTATACCTCTAGCTAATGTAGAAAAAAACAAACGTACAACAGTACGCACAGTAAAAACTCAGTTTAAGAGAAGTCCGAGTCCGATGTCAGAATAGGAAACAAAAGAAAATAAACAAAATGACAATAATACATAAATAACAACAGACTACTAGCAGTTACTGACATGCCAGCTCCAGACCTCAATTAAACTGATTGAAAGATTATGTCTATATCATATGAATATCAGGCACAATCCCTCCTGTTAGGGGTTTAGTATTATACCATCATAAAATATATGAGAAGAACATAACCCGTGTCATGCCAACAACTGGTTTTAGAATAAATATGTTTAATTCCGATGCAAAGACCCTATAAGTGAATCAATATTAAAGCCAAAATATGCAATCTTTAATGACCTGACAACAGTATCGTAACTATATCCTTTCTTAATAAGTCTGTTTAGAGGTTTTGTTAGCTTTTGAGGTGAATACTGACACTTTTGTGCTTTGTGAAGAATATTACCATAAAAGATTGGATGTGAAATACCCGAACGTATAAGATGTCTGCATGTTGAGTTATATTTACGAATGATGTCCTTATACCGATGATAAAATTTAGTAAATGTTTTGACTAGTTTATGATATCGAAAATCCTGGTGTTATAATTTTTCAGTAATACATAAATTTCTCTCGCTACAATCTAATACGTTGTTAAATACACGAGCGAATCGTACAAATTGAGATATATAAACACCATAAGATGGTGACAAGGGAACGTCACCATCTAAAAATGGATAATTAACGATAGGAAATGAAAAATCATCTCTTTTATCATAAATTTTTGTATTAAGCTTCCCGTTAATGGTATAGATATCAAGATCGAGGAAAGGACAGTGGTCATTGTTAGTATCAGCTTTATTTAAAGTAAGTTCAACAGGATAAATTTCTTAAGTATACCTACTGAAGTCGTCATTATTGAGAGCCAATATATCATCCAAATATCTAAAAGTATTGTTAAATTTTTGTATCAGATGTTGTTTCGATGGGTCTTTGCTGATTTTAGTCATAAATTGTAACTCATAACTATACAAAAACAGGTCCGCAATAAGTGGTGCACAGTTAGTCCCCATTGGAATTCCGATAACTTGACGATATACGGAATCTCCAAAGTGAACAAAAATGTTATCAAGTAAAAATTCAAGGGCAGATATAGTATCAAAGCATGTCCAATTGACATAGCTCTTTTGTTTGTTGCTACTAAAAAATGACCTAAAAGAGTTTGAACATATGTATTCGCATTCCGACTTTTTAAATGCCCATTTAATTAGGTGTGTGAATTTTTTCTTAATAAGAATATGAGGCAAAGTGGTATATAGGGTAGAAAAATCAAAACTTTGAACAGATTCAAAATCAACAATATGTACACCACATCATTGAAATTATAGTATTCGGTGAAAATCGACAAAATGACACAAAACCTAATATATAATATTTTAGAATTATGATTCCTTGTTTCATAAATAGTTCAACTATATTGTATGTCATCTAGTTGAGATTTGGTTGAAATTGTAAATGATATTTCTGAAAACAACCAAAACACTACATGCACGTGTCACTGTACTTTCCAGCTTGTGTTAGTCATAAAGCTTGTAGTTAGTCATAAAGCTTGTAGTGTTCTTAGAGACAATTGCAAGGATTTATTATGTTTGATTGATTGTGTAAGCCTAACTTTTTTGTTTATTTTAAAAATATGCTTTACGCGTATACATATGTATATTCGTACAATTTACTGTTTTGTAACCGGATTTATACTGAACCTCTATCATATAAAATAATATTTATATAATGCCTTGAGTGTTGTACGTCATTTCCAATGCATTAATACTGTACCAAATATCAGTTACAATAGATTTGATATATGAGTATGTGCAAATTTAGGCATTAATCTTCATGTTTTGTTACATCCTACAGGGAAATATCATTTATAACTTGATGCTTTGTACAGAATTGCATATTTATTTCTCGTTATATTAATGGAATGCCTGATCAGACAATTAGACCCATCAATGCATACATTTGTAAAGCTATAGCAGAATATGATATTTTTAAAATGATTGTGTGACGAAAAGGAGATGTGGGGTATACGTCACCGAGACAGCAACCCGACAACAACAATAACTTATGACATCTAGAGGGCAATATATAGTCCTCAACAATAGACTGCACAATACATGTAAATCGTCCTGATTGCGGTTAGTGTAACTAATGATAAGTGTGGACTATGTATATTACAAAGGAAATCCGGTAATTAAAGGACACGTTATTATCTACATGTAACTGATAAATATATTCATTAGACTAATACATGTATATGGTTATCTATTATCTATCATAATACCTGAAGGTTTTCCTTCATTTTATCTATTGTGATAAAAACAAAGTTATATAAAACTTACAAGAGGGCATTTCTGAAGAATTTTTCTGTAATATAATCCCTACAATTGGCATTCTCAAATGCTAAATAAAATTTATAGTCCTTTTTAAGTATATCAAAGCATTCTTGTTCTCTTTCCCTACCACAGGTATAATTCCCACAAGCACCATAAATATCTACTTCAATGTGTTTAGACAATTCATTAACGTATTGAATTCTCTGATTTGTTGTGTCACAGTTTGATACAAATATAGCTACTTTTTTAGTTTTCCCAAAAGCATAATTCCGGGATATTAACAGGGAATCGTCAGTTACACTCCATTTCTCATAAGGCGCGACAATTGTAGAATCATGTCTGTATGTAGCCGTCCAGTTGAAAACACGGCCAATCATAAAATAATCCGGGGACACAACTGGACTCTCTAAATTGTAATAAATCCAAATTTGATCTGGGTGTCGCTGTACTTCGTCCTCCATTGACTTAACGTCCGAATTAAAGATTTGTTGGTACACAATGCGAGCATCATACCTTACGCCGGATTTTGTACTTGACGTCACAAAACAGTTTTTTACCTTACAATCACTCTTCTCGAATGGCACTTTGCCTTCATCAATACCGAAACTTCCTATGTCGGGTATTAAAATATATTTTGTTCCAATAACTTCTCCTTCGGGTATAAAATTCATTTGTTCAACTATCCTGTCACCTTTATCTGTATTATAAACATCAGGTATTTGAACTTTTGTTGACAACTGAGATTTTATGGAAGGTTTTTGTGGTTGTTCAAAGGTCCCTTTCACGTTGCATTGCATACCAACATCCTGTTCGTGTCGATATAAAATGTTACTTGGAGAAAAGTTGATCACCACAGTTATTGCTAAAAATATCAGAACTATCAACAAAAAGTCTCTATACAGCCTTTCCATTCCGATTTCTACACACACAGGTGCGCTGATAAAAATTTGTACACAGATAAAATGTAAAGGTACTCGTTCGAGGTTGACGGAAATTTAAATTGATAAAAAGTTGTCTAAATATAGTTTGGTCAATAAATAAAGTCACCTTATGCACAATGAATAAAACGATTAAACTGCAGAAAAACATCTATTTCAATCAATGGCAATAGCTTAGACTCCAGTAAAACTTTACTAATAAGAGTCTTAGTTAAATCTGTTTATACTAGAGCTAAACGAGATATAGATTAAAAGAGACAATGTTTTAATAGCTGTTACCATATTCACCTGCACAATCGTCGATGTTGTGTGATTCCCAGTTTTATGGATGTGATCATGTGATTAATTTGACTATCAGATCAGGAGTTATTTCACTGTGTACTCTGATTTAACAAATTGGTAAATCGTGTTGCCTTACAGCGATTCAAGTTTCTCGCAAATAGGCAGTTTAGTTTAAGGGTATTATTTACTGATATCCCTAATAACTCAAAATTACGAGACGCAAGTGAGTACCGTGCAATTGTATTTCATCAGGTTTTTTTCCGAATGCATGAAACTATTAAGCAAGATAAATGTACTCATTATAAATAAACTTATTGTTTCTCGTAAAAAAAATAAAATTACACGATATTTCTCATCTTACCATTAACTGTATTGTTGTAAACAGAACTTAAACATTAA